GTGATAATACACTAATTAAAACATAGTTATGCATATTATATTACATTTCTGTGAACATACCCTGCTAAATGTTACACACTGGATCTGTAAATATCAATAAAGACAAATGGCATCCAATAAGACCCATGTGAAACTGCAGAGATGTTCCCTGACCTGCTTTCATTCTGCTGTGAGCCCAGGTGTAGTGATGTATAATTGTTAAATTATTTAAATAATCTTGAAGTGAAACTAGGAGAACATGCAATCGGCCTGCAGGTACTTAATGTAGGGTTCAGTCACGTCTATCCATGTAAATATATAAATCTCCAACTTCTAATCTAAAAACTGATCATCTACATTTCTCATTCATTCTTGTCTTCAGGTGGTAAAACACAAGTAATGGGGGAGATCAAGGTTGCTCTCAAGAAGGAGGTGAAGACGGAAGGGGACCAACTGGTCTTGGAGATCCTTCAATGCAGAAACATCACTTACAAGTTCAAGAGTCCAGACCACCTACCAGGTCTGAAAGTAGTGTGTACTTGTGCACATGACTGAGTGAACATAGATGGGTGTGTGTTTTAATTAACCTTTTACTAATCAATTTTCATAATTTCTTTAATGTGTCTTCAGATCTGTACGTGAAGTTGTATGTGGTGAATGTAGCCACTCAGAAGAGGATCATCAAAAAGAAGACCAGAGTTTGTCGACATGACAGAGAACCCTCTTTCAATGAGACCTTCAGATTCCCCCTCAACCCAACTGGACATTCTATACAGGTACAACAGACACCCACATGAGATAGTTACATATATAGATATGGCTATTGCCACCTGACATACATTATGTGTAACACAATACTGCTCCAGTTTTATTACATTTATTTTTGCAATCATAGAAAATCTATTTGTTGTATCGATTTGTAGTAGTCTGTGGTGTAGTCATTCAATTGTCTAGCTTTATGCTGTTGACAGAGACTCCCTTACATTTCTAAAATGGCTCATTACAGCTGATTTAAACTGTAAGCGTATAATATCTGACAAAACAAGCATTAAATCTCATTATTGGAAGTTTTATAAACTGGTCTGCTGCCTCACATAGCAGCTGGGAGCCACCTTCTGGCGACTGCAGGATAGTAACATTTAAAAGTAACTTGTTGCGTCTATAAAAGGTTAATTAGATACAGACTGTTGGAGTTCAATACATAGTGGAAAATGATGCTCACTGACTCCTTTTCAGGCGATGCTAAAGGAAAAATTAAAAAGTGTGTAACCAATATAAGTACATTTCTTATTTGTAATTAAGGATAACACTAATATGTCCATATTTCATTCTGATTAAAATGTTAAAAGTGTTTATTTCTTTCTCAATAGAAATATTATATATATATTTATATAATATAATATAATAATATTTATATAATCGATAGTTTATAACCACTTCGTCCAATTCTGTTTGCAATAATTATGCTGGATTATATGATTTTACCTGTACACTTTTCAAGATGGACTGGGTGTGTGAGCTACACACAAAAATATAACAACAGAATAAGTCATGACAAATCTTTTTCTCTCTCCACTGCATTTCTAGCTTTTCTTGGTGTCCAATGGAGGCAAGTTCATGAAGAAGACCCTGATAGGGGAAGCCTACATCTGGCTAGATAAGGTGGACATGAGGAAGAGAGTGGTAAGCTGGCACAAGTTGTTTGTCAGCTCCACTCAGACCAACCCTTGAGCACCACACCGACAAGTTGGATATAGGATAAGCTTAGATAAAGATGAAGCCAGAATGTACTAGTTCAAAGGTCCGGTTTGACAAAAAGATGAATAAGAGAAAAAAAAAAAATAAAGAAGAGGAAATAAAAAAAAAGATCCATTTAATTCCTCCATTCTTCCTTTACTTCCTCAGTTCATACGTTATAAGAAGTAGGGAATTATGTGCTAATACCATAACAACTGTATCAGTCCAACACTGCCAGCACACATCCACCTCCTCCCATGTCGGGTCTCTGTTGGCTGTGGACTTTACTTGTACGATGCAAACATGCAAACGCCACAGCAGGCACTAAAACAGACTTAGCAGCAATATGGCTATGAGAGCAGTGATGTCTTTCTTACCATAGTTCCAATTCCACAATCCACATGACACTTTGTTATTTTGGTGCTGTGCAACTGAGCTAACATATCTATCAGAGGGAAAGATGAAAAAAAAGGTGAATTTGATCACATAATCATCAACTGAATTAGCATTGTGTTTTCTTCATATGGGAGTCCCCATTGTATTGCTCACATAATGGTTTTGATGTGATCATGGATCAGTGTTCTTGAAATATTTATTGATGAAGGAATGCATACCGTTTTTGTATCATAGTCTTTCAGTTTCAAGTAAAAAGAAAAAAAAACAACAAAGCCTATGTAGAACAGAGTCAGACAGTTGACTTTTGCTATGGGATGAAGATAAAATGTACAGCACCTCAGATTGTAGATATCACAAATGCAGACTACAAAGCATATCAGATAATCACATTGTACAGTGTGACGTTTATATAATATACAAAGATATAGATGCAGAATATATCTAAATATAATATACAGTAACAGTTCTCTTGTCACTAAATATATATTAAAATATAGACATATGATCTCTGTGGCTGTGGGTGGCGCACTGACAATCCAGTAGGCTACTTTAGTCTATGGTGTAGGCAGTCTTAATAGCTGTTATGTGAATGTGGACCTATGTGAGCTCAAGGATGTTCATGAAAAATAGCTCCTTCGGTCCTCTGATCACGCTGACGCACCACTAGATATTCAACAGGGCTGTGATAAATTAACATTTGGTCAAGGTCAACATCCAGTGGCATATTGCTATTTCACTGGCATGTGATTGTGGAGGTCAAGTTGTAATTACAGTCGAAGTCCAAAACACATGCTGTGTAAAATGTTACACAAGCCAACCGTAGAGGATGACAAGAGTTTGTCACATCAGTCTCATGTGTACAACATTTTACTTTAAGGCTGTTGTAGTTGCTCAGCATATGCTAATATTTCTTTCTGAGTAGCCCAATTACAGTTGGAATAGACTGTAATTCACACAAGTTGTGTCAAAACCATACATAGATCTGCAACTGTCATTACTTCAGTATGACAGCTATGCTATCTGTATTAGTAACCCCCCACCTGGTCTCAGTTTTACTTAAAAATAGTTTCAAAAAGAAGAAAAAAAACAGTCAAATGTCAAGGTTCCTCTGTGTGTCTAGCTGTGCTGTAAAACTCATTATGCTGTTATGTGTCAGTGACTCCTGTTGCAACACAGTGAACCAGCCTCTTTCACTGCCTGTGACCAAAACATTTACTCAGGCCCAATGGGGTACAGTCATATTTAAATCAGAAGAACACATGGGCCAAGTCTCAGTACTAACGTGGAGCAGGTGACCCGTGTATTTATCTTGTAATGTTTTGCCACTACATCTACAGAAGGAAAAAAAACAGTATCACGTGACCCTCAGAACTGCTGTCAGTGTATTTAGGCATATCACAGGGCTCATGCAATTTTTTTTTAAGAATTAATAATAACAGAGGAATCAAGAAACACATTTAGAACAAGATGTCACTTAAATCTTATAGCAAAGGTTAACAAAAAAGATAATATAATAAGGAAGGAAATGTGGTTGAGTTTTCAGATAATTATTTTGCTGTGCCAATCTTAATTTTTTTTTATTCCAGACCCATTGGTTCTTAATTCTATGCAACATAGATGTGTCTGAATGCATTTGTTTTTTTGGAACTAACTGTTATATTTGTGAACATATGGTCAAAAAATATGTCTTAGAAATGTCTTATGTAGAAAAATAACTTTAATTTGTACATCATTGAAAGAAATATTAACTATATTGATTTTTTTACTGATCTTAATATAAATTGATGTTAACAGCTGTTAACATCTACATGAAGCTTGTGCACTTTATTATTACATTGTTTATTTCCTTGTCTCATTTTAACTTTCATGACAAGCAAGATTATGTGTTTTGTGTTCCTGCACCGAAATGAACTGAGTCATGGTGTATGTGGTGGCAGAAAATATTGTGGTGTGCATTTTGTATTAATGTGGCAAAAGAATACATGCTGACATGCTGGGGTTCCTAAACACAATGCACAATCTGGGAAGATATCACCCTAATACATTATGCTCATAGTCTACTTAACAGTCTGTGTACAAAAAACAGTAAATAAAACCTATTCCCTCAATGCTCAGTCATGACTGTTTAACCCCTTGTGTTTCATTAAACTTCCCTCAAGCTAAATACTGTTTGTTAAGATCAGCTGTTGCCTGTAATTGTGAAACCATCCATTTGTTGTTGTTCTGAGGAGTGTGAATGTGACTTAAGTCCTTTGACATGTGTACATACAAGTGTTTATTTTCTACAAAGATTGAATGTTTATATTGTCTGAAGTTTGAGCATGTGAGTGTTGAAAAAAATCACAAAAGACTTACTGTACAGCAATGCGTGTCTATAGTTGTATAAGGGGAGTTGACTGTGTAATCAAAACGTGTGCTGTCATCCAATGACTATCTGTGCAACCACGTCCCGTAAACAGCTGAAACAACACAAAGGGAAAAAAATCTATTCAACTTCAATAGTTGTCAGAGACTTTATGTTTTGGATGTTGCATGTTTTGTTGATGGTTTGTCTGTATATTTTGCCTACAGATTATGTTTAAAAAGAGACAGAATATGTATAGATTTATCTGTATGCTGATTGTAAAGAAATATGCTTGTAAAATTGTCTTGTTTTTCACTCAGTGTAAAAACAAAGAATCTACTGTTATGGTTTTGTGGTTGTACACAGGATGTGTTGAGATATTATGCAAATTGTGCTGTAACAAATCAGCTGTTTCCCCTGAGTCTAAAGAATAAATATTAAGAAGAGCTATATTACACATGCAGAGTTGAGCTTTGTTTTGTTTTGAATTATGAAAATGAGAAAAATACACACACATTTTGTTCTTATGTCAGACTTACACCAAACTGCTTTTTTCAATGATAATAGGTGAATAGTCATTTTGACCTGTCACAGTAGGAAAAACAACAACGTGGTCTGCACTGTCTGCCACAGTGACAATCTTGATACTACCACCAGATGGTGGCAAAGACACACAATTTGGCTTTCACTATTTTTCAGGGTGTATTTACAGTAAAAACGTAACCCATTGTATTCCTTATTTATCAGAGTAGTTTAATCATCATAGGCCTGGCCGAGGCCATTGATCTTCTGCATGGACCCTGCCATCTTACTCTGCAAAGCCACTGACATATGGTATGCACATATTGACAATTAAGTATCAGCGACTATAAAAATGCACTGTAGAATTTGATAATATACTTGGTATATCAACAGAGTAGCACATATAGCCTAGCTGCTAGTTTCTGGTCCTGTGTCTAAGATGGTGGTGCTTCTGCGCTTATTATCAGTAGAGCTGATGCCCCATGTACCAAGACCTTGTTGCAGTAGCCATAGGTTTGAGTCCAACCTGTGGCCATTTTTGTGTGTCATCCTCTCTTTGGGTGTGTGGATTCTGGTAATTACTTTCCTGTAGTATTGTTCTACATGACTGCCACCTTTGATACCAGACATCATTCATCTTACAGGACAGACGTACAGAAAATTGGTTCTGCATTATTGCAACTGTCCTGAATTTGATTTCTTAAATTCAGAGACTTTCCACTGGTAAGGAGGTCTGTTATGCTGCTCTTATGTAGGCTACTGGCAGCTCAATACAAAATTTGTTTCCTCTTGGTATATTATCTCTGATAATGATCACACCAATCACAAATTCTGCTAGTCTGCTAAAGGTCACGTTTAAATAAATGCAATGGCATAAATAAGTCCCTGACTTTAAATCAAATATTTAAAGGAGGCTATAGTTCTTGTTCTTTTGGACAAAATTGTATTAATTTATATCGATTAAATTGATTCTATCTAACAGTTTACAGTAATAGTGAGTCATTTTAAAAACTCATGTGGGTGGTAAAAGGAGCATGTATGGCCTCATAGGAACTGTTTATGATCATTTACATTTTGATAAGTTTTGTGTATTAGTTTTCCTTGCTTATTATGCTATCATAAATATATACTGTATTATGGTTCATATCCTAAAAGGACTATGTATTACATGTATATGTACAACATACATGTGCATGGATATAGGGATTTGGGCAAATATACAGAAAACATCTTGAAAAAAAAAATAATGTAAAAAGATTTTTGAAGAAGAAATTCTTTAACGGCGACTGATTCTTGTGATTTTAATGAATTACCTCCAGATGGCAGTATCCTCTGATCAAATAAACTCAACTGTCACTGTAACAGATTTTTAACTAGCAGTGCTTTTGCACATTATGACTTTAACATTACTGCCAAAGATGCCATGTCTACAGGTGGTTCTCTCTTCTGAAGTCAGGATAAGTCTAATAAGATGATATTTAAAATGGGTATTTGGTGCTTGTTCATTTTGTACCCATCATATGTTTAAAAAATAACTAAGTTCATATTATTTGGGAATAACCACTAGTAAAGAAATGGAGTACCAGTTAAAATGTGTAAAGCAAAAATGTTGCAATATGTTTTTTTGGTTTATACATGTGAAATACATTTTATAATAGTTAATAATGTAATTTGAGTGATGTGGCCATATACAAATATATTGGGCATGTTGGGTGTTTCAGGCTTTACACAGAGATTCATTGTCTGTCCAGGTCTTTCTTACAAATACCATTAGTTTTTATTCTGGTCTAACATCAGTTTCCTATACTATATGAAAGGACAGGTGTCGCACCCCAGACATTAGTCTGACACCTCATCCTACTTGGGATCAGATGTTCCCAATGAATAAAAAAGTATTGAATGGGGATGTGTGCAGAGGAGGCCTCCACCTCCCCATCCTGTCCACACTGCTCTTTGATATTATGCTATTATGTTCCTCCACCCTACGACACCTCTCCAGTTTTCACCATTCACATACTTTTCTCTATCCCATCAGCAGGTGCATCTGCTCGTCTGCTGGGGGAAATGAGTGTGAGAAAGGTGTGGGGAGAGAGAATGCGGAGAGGGTGATGTGACAGGGAGTGAGGGGATGAGAATTGTGGAGAAGCTGAGTAGGGAAGAGCAACAGTGCAGTAGAGTGAGAGCAGGGGGAGAGTTGGAGATGGGAGAGACAAAGAGAGAAAGGAGGGGCAGGGGGTGGGGGGTGTGAGAGGACACCAGAGCTGGTGTGTGGTTGCCAAGCAACGATTGATAACCAAATCCCCAAGCATCCTGCTTGTGCTGCCCTGCCCTCCCTCCAGGCCTGAATTACACACACACACACACACACACACACACAGTAGGTTTACGTTATCGCTCTGTTATTAAATTATTAAATCAATTCAAAGTGATGCTCTTTTATTTCAAAATGATGACAAACTGGGATTTTGGATACTGCAGTGGTACTGGAGTTTGTAGTTTATATATTCTATATATTCCATCTTTTATACATTTGCGTTAAGATGTGCAGCACATAGCCACAGATTCAATCTTATATAAGATATGATTGATAGCAGGGAGATTTATTGGGCTTTTACTGTAGCCTACTTTTCTCATAAGATGTTGCACTATATGTGTGAAATCAATAGATCTGTCAGACCAGCACTGAATCCCATGTGGGACAGTTTCTCTGCTTGCTGCCACTCAATGCTACCAATATGACTGATAGCAACTGGCAAAGACTGTGCTATCAAAGCCAGTAAATTCTCCCATCCCTTCACGTTGTAGGAATTGAAAGGTTGTAGGGCATTTTAAAGAGCTATACCTGCATCTGTATTCAGTCAGCATGCGCTTGTGTGTGAGTGTGTGTAGGTGTGTGTGTGTGGTACCTGTAGTCAGACCCTCCTTTTAGCAGGTGTTTCTTTATATGGAGGTAAAACACAATTTGTTGCTCACAATAGGGAATGCTGCACAACCTGAGGGAAGTTAAAACAATGCTTTTTTGATTATTTATGGACCCAAACAAATATCTTTTGATATCATTTTAATGTTTTGGTTTTGTAATATTACAACAGTTAGATCATATAATTAAAAAAAATAGACTAGTCCAATTTACATCAGGTCAAGTCACAACAGAGTATCATGTTACGATAAAGATAAAAGAAGCATATGTGATTTTTTTCTAGACTGAAAGGAGGGGACAACAGGGTGAGAGTGAGATAGAGAGAGAGAGA